TCACTCTCTCTCTCTCTCTCTCTCTCCCCCTCAGCACCACCGTTATCATCAGACGCATAAACCTCTCTATATTTCATGATTTAAAAATAATAATAAAAAAATGTTGCCGTTTTTGATTTTCTCGTTTTTTTTTTGTTTGTGTTTGTGTTTGCTTATTATCCTGACCTTTTAGTCGCCAAAGCAGCAGGCCACGGAAATATCATTCAGCAATAAAGAAAAATAATAAAAAACTGCCTCACAGGTGCGCCTGAACCGCGCCCGGGACCCCCATCTTGTCAAACATCATCTCACGGCGCTGGCGAGCCTCGACTGCCTCCAACCTCTCACCTTCCGCCGGCGGAGACGGGAGAAGCTTTCCGGGGTTGCAGATGTTCTTGGGGTCAAGTGATTTCTTAAATCGCATAATCGCTTCCAAGCCAATCCTGCCGTTATACTGCTGCATCCACGGAACGTGTTCGTAGCCGATCCCGTGGTGATGGGAGAGGTTCCCTGTGTGGTGGAGCATGGCCTCCATGGCGCGCTGCTTGATTTTTAAAAAGTGTTTCATGTCGTTTTCGTCGTGCTGCTCACCAGCAAAAGTGAAGTAGAGGCAGCATCCAAAGCGGTACTGGTGGGCGGTGTGGCACCCAATCCAACCGTTCCTTCCACTTTCCTTCATGACGCTCTTAAACGCCTCCTTCACGGCGCGCCAGCAGGAAATGGCATCCGAATACAAAACACTGGTCTCAAACACATCTGCCCAAAGGGAGTGTGAGAGAGCCAAGTCACGAAGATAAGGCAGGTCATATTTTTTTTCCATCCAAGACTTCCCCGGGCTCGAGCCGACACAAACTGCACCAAACGCTTTAAAGATACCTGACAACTCCCTTCGTTGGCAGCCTGTCTGAAACTTGGTTCCCTCAAAGCCAATAATAACCAGGGAAAGTTTCGTGAGATCCCATTGCTTTATTACGCTCAGGTATTTCTTCAGAGCCCTGCTAATAAGCGGGCCAATCAGACTAGTGTCTGTACTCGCGGCAACGCTAAGACGTGTGTCGTCCTCGTCGTACAAGCGCATTGTGCACGGATGAACCCCCTTTCGCGTGCATGTGTGAAAAGCGGAGAAGGCAGCTTCAAAGGAGGGGAACATCCATCCCTCGTAATGCCTCACTTCAGGAATGGGCTCAATCTTAACTGTGAGCTCCGTGATAATTCCGAACGCACCCTCTGAGCCAGTAAACATGGCATTGAGATCTACCCCGCAGGGTCGAGAAGTCACAGGAGTTTCCACGACGCCAATTGGAGTTGCCACCTTCATTGCGAGAACCATGTTCTCTATATCGCCGTACTTATTCGACATGGCACCACTCCCGCGTGCACCAACCCACCCGCCAAGAGTGGAGTGAGTGTAGCTGTCAGGGTCATGACCAAACATGAAGCCATGAGGTCGGAGCTGCTCATCCATGTCAGGGCCCAGAACACCTGCCTCAAATACAGCTAGCCCGGACTCCTTATCGATAGATAGCATGCGTCCCATTCGACGCATGTCAACCGAAACAATCATGCGTTTTGTCTCAAAAGGTGTTGGCTCAACACCACCCGTAACATTTGTGCCACCTCCAAAAGGAACAATAACCACATTATGCTTCTGAGCCAGCTCCATAATCTTCGCACAATCCTTGTGATTGTTGGGGAAGCAAATTGCGTCGGGTGCACGATCAAGCATCCCATTTCGGGCACGCCAGAGATCCCGGTAGTTCTTGCCGAATATGTGTGTGAGACGACTTTCGCCGTCCAGGCGAACCTGGTCCTTCACGAGCGTTTGCCGCAACTCCTCAAGAAATGCTTCGTTAATACACTGCTTGGGAAGTCGCTTGAGAGCCTCCTCCATTGAAATACCCGGTGACTTCACCAGTTTTGCATCCTCAGTCGTATGCCAAATCTCCCGCTGAATGAACTTTATGAGACCCGGCATGGGTTTCCCGTTCAAGTGAAAGACAAGGTTTTTCTCCACGTCGTATCTTAATGCGACGTCCTTAAAACCCCAGCCGTCCCATTTGATCTGCTCGTAGGCGTCAGCCTGGCGACTCTCGTGCATGATTACTTAATGTTCTTTTGTTTAGATTCCCCCTTCACGTATTCTCTCCGCCGATTGCCACCTAACGTCGGCAAAGGGCACAGGCCTCATATATATATATATTTATATAAAGGAAGTGTAGAAAAAAAAAAAAAATAAGCAACGCCAACAATAAGCAAGGCGCACTCCCCGCAGGAGATGATTTCGCTCGTACGTCATTACCACCGCAACGCCCCGTAGTAGCAGTCACAGTCCAATTCAAGGACCCGCAGCAACACCAAAGAGGGAAAAAAGAAGGGGCTGACGGCAGCCTCCCCTCGCCTTCCCTCCAAACACACAAATGCCGCTCTGCCTCACCTCTGCACGACTCACCAAGAACATACAAAAACAAAAAGGAGCGCACCCTCACCACCCCCTAAGGAAGGAGAGCATCACCGCCGATGTGCGCCACACATAAAACGAATAACTGCCAACATTAATGTTAGTCGCCACTCGGGCAAGCGACCCCTTGTCATGGGAAGACCTTCTGTCCCGCTGCGCTGCCCCAACTCCACGATGGTTTTTCGTAGTTCACGGAGATGGGCGCAAGCGTCCTCCGACAGACCACTTCGCTTCAACTCCTGTTCCAGGCCGCTAAGACAAAAGAGTGTCATCTGCTTGTTGAACTCAAAAAACGAGGCTGTTTTGTGACGCCGCTTGGAATCATGGGAACTGACGTCTTCACGTAGTAGCGGGAAGATGATGCCATCACGGATGGTGCTAGAATTTGTAAGCAGCATCAAAGTACGATCGATTCCCATGCCCCATCCCGCAGTCGGAGGAAGGCCGACCTGCAACGACTTCAGAAATGTCTCGTCCAGCGTCATGGCCTCCTCGTCTCCCCTTTGCCGATCCACTAACTGTTGTTGAAAACGCTGACACTGCTCCTGTGGGTCGTTAAGCTCGCTGTAGGCGTTGCAGTACTCCATCCCGTTAATAAACAGCTCAAAGCGCTCTGCCAGTCCAGGCCGTGATGCGTGCTCCTTTGCGAGGGGGCTCATAAACAGCGGGTGATCCATCACAAACGTCGGCTCCACAATGCGATCGGTAATAAAAAAGTCAATAAGTTTGTCAAACAACTTGGCGGCTGTTCGTACAGGCGGAAAAGAAATGTTGTAGCGCAGCATGAGAACGGACATATATGCAATGCCTTTGGGCGTATTCAGTTCGCTTGGAGGCGGGAGCTCCACCCCAGACACGCGCTGCACCTCATCGTAGACGCTCACACGTCGGAAGGGTTTACTCAAATCCACTTCGACGACAGGTCCGTCATGGGCGCTGTCAAGGGGAAGTTGCACCACAGTCGTCCCGTTAGCCCGCGTCGCCAGGCGACGAAAAATATCCTCAGTCATAGGCATGAGATCCTCGTACGTGTGATACGCGGCGTAAAACTCGCAGCTTGTGAACTCAGGGTTATGTGTTCGGTCGGCATCCTCGTTGCGAAAAACTTTTCCAATCTCGTAGACGCGCTCCATTCCTCCAACGATGCACTGCTTCAGGTGCAGCTCCGGAGCGACACGCAGAAACAAATCCGTCGCAATCGCATTGTGGTGTGTCACAAACGGCTTGGCGTTCGCGCCAGAGGCCACCGTGTGCAGCACCGGAGTCTCCACCTCCACAAAGTTGCGCTCGTTCAGGTACTCGCGCAGCGCCTGCAACATCACGTGCCGCTTCTTAATTGTCGAAATGACGCATGGGTTGGTCATCATGTCCACAAACCGGTAGCGATACTTCACATCGTTGTCCTGCATCACGGCGAAACCGCGCAGGTTGGGGCAGACCACCTGGTCAGTGCAAACGTAGGGACTCAACACAACAATGCGGGAGGCGGCCACGGAGAGTTCGCCCCGCTGCATGCGGCATGGAACGCCCTCAACCCCAATGATGTCGCCAACCCACAACACTACCTTCAGCTTCTTCAACTCTTCATGTGTGAAGTGCTCGCCTACCTGCCCCACCACCTGCAGCTCCCTTGCGTTCGAACTAATTGTGAGAAACAGTATTTTGCCCATGTCCCGCAGGCTCGTGACGCGTCCCGCAACGCGCACCAACGCCTGCGCGGCCCGCTCACCGGGATTTAAGTAGTCGTACTGCTCCCTAACAACATCAATGGGGACGATGCTACGGAAGGATGAGTATGCCGCAGGCATATCGAGCCTAGTGCGTGGCGCACGTGAGACCTCCTGCGCCACCGTCTTTGTACTGCTCGTCTTGTTTTTCAACTTTTGTGGCTTCAGCGCTGACGACGACGGTGAGAAGGCGGAAGCGGTGGGTGGGGGTGACACGTTCACCGCCCACTTGGAAACACTCAAAAGGCATGCGCAGAGGCACTGAAGAGAATATGCACCCCACCAGCGCATTGCCAGGGGCAGAGACCTACGCGCTGAGAGAACATCATCATTGAAAAGGAAAAAAAAAAAAAACGGAAGGCGGGCACACACTTGAGGGAGAAGGGGTAAAAAAGGTCCTCAGCCGTGTACTGCAGGAGAGAGAGCAGTGGGTAGAAGCGCAGCAAGCAGCCACAAAGAAAAGAAGAAAAAAACGCGCTGTTGTTGCTATTTGAATATTTATTTATTTATTCCTTTCACTCCTTCAGGACGCTTGCGTTTTCTCGCTTACTTGACAGTATTTTTTTTGCCGCACGTGGTTCCAGAACGTAGATGCCATGGGCCTCCCACCGCTAATCTAACGGCGACAAAAAAAAAAAAAAAAAAATGACCAAACAAATAGTCACAGTAAAACAAAAACAAAAACAAAAACAAAAACAAAAACAAAAACAAAAACAAACAAGACCCAATAATAGACACGTAGCACACTGGCAAAAACAAAACAAAAAACAATACAACAAAAATACAAAAAAATTAAATACCTAGACGACCAAAAGTAACAGAAACGACAAAATAGTATAAA